GGGGGGGGGGGAGAAAGAAGACCCCCTCATGATCTTGAGACAGGAAGTTTGTGTCACCCTTTGTGGCTCCACCAAAGAAAACCAGTTAAAACATTGAAAACCTCTCTGTTCACAGTGTAAGGCAACATGATCGTTGCCAACAATCACATTGTGCTAAACCAGAATTTGCTTTTTTGTCTTTACTTTTTACTATTTGTAGCCTGCTTATTTATTTTTCATAAAAACTAGTGCCCTTAAAAATTTTTCAGTTTGAATGCAATAAGGCCCACGTGAAAAAGCACATCAGTGGAGGAAGGTTTGGAGATAATTTTTTCATGCAGAATTCTGAATTACACAGTTCTTTTGGGCACTGAGTTTGTGGGATGGGGGGAGGAAATGAAATATGTGTTTGATCACTTCTTTTATCAATATCGATAAACAATATATGGGTCTTTATTTTCAGGTTTTTGCTTTGGTGTCTTAGTATATGAGTCTTCCTTTTTGGGGCTTCATTTTTGGGTCTTTGTTTTCAGGGTTTATTTTTTTATTTAAAAATTGGTGTCTATAGCTTGCGGCCGGGAGGGGTAAGTTTTGGAACCCTCTGTCAACTGGTGTTTGATTGTATACTTTATCATTATTGGAAAGATTGAAACTGGAACTTGATATTTCCGGTGAGAAACCATAACAAGATGGTAATAAGTAAAGAAAATTAAGGGGACTTGGTTTTCAAGTCTTTAAGGTCTTAGGTTTTGGGGTCTTAGTTTTCGCAACAACCCAGAACTACGAGCACTGCAATTGCATTATTCTGTGATAATTATCTATTCTGAAGCAAAATAAACTTGACCTTTGAAGCTTATTTCTGTAACATTAGAGAATGTTTCTCAGAAATGTTGTGATTCTATAAAGAGAATTTTTACCATTTGCAAATTATCAAATGCTTTGATTGCTAATTGCTGTGATGTGCCAGTCTCGTTTTGCAGACAATTATGTGCTAACAAACAAGTTTATTGATGACATTCTCCCAACCAGTATTCTTTTCTAACTGCATAAAGAAAACAAGGGAAACTGAAAACTGTTCAAGATGAAAGAGGAATTATTGTGAAATAAAAAGAAAATTGTAAATATGTCACAGAACTTGGCAATGAAGCTCTTCCACACTGTGAAATATGAATAAGGTGCTGGCAATAGTCAATGCGACCATTGTGGGTGTACATGTATTTGATATGTATTTTTAAATTACAACATTTTTGAAAAGGGGTGTATTTATTGATATATAAATATACGCATATAATTATATGTATATATATATATATATATAGGGAGTCTGCAAGTCGATTTTCGCGTGGAACAGTGCTCAATACGTTGAAAAAAATATTTATATATATATATGCCTAGTATAAGAGATGCCAGTGCTCTGACTAATAGTGGATTGGGCCATATTTCACTATAGTCACCTCTCACAAGGTGATTGTAGCAGGGGGCTAAATTTCAAAACAGGTGCCTTGGGTTTCATTGATGTTACAGAGGAAGTTATAAACACGATAGGAGAAAATTAAATTCTGAAGAGCAGAAAAGATAGTATTTAGTTTGGCATAACATAGAATAGCAAGAAATTAATAAAATATTAATATACTCAATCTTTTTTCTTTGAACACCAAATTTACTACCATGGCTTCAGATTGTTTGTTTTGCATGGTTTCAGCTGTTCTTCCCTTTTCATGGAGGGACTGAAAATTCAACCAGTGCTATGAATTCTCTTGAGCTTCCACCCAGTAAGTATTAGTTACAGAACAGGTATTGAAATGAGGTATGTTTAATTAAATATGTGGATCAATAGCTTTAGTTCAGTCAAAAATTTCGTAAATGCTGTGTTTTGGGTTTGTAAATATCTCTTTAGCTGTGAAACACTTGTAAAATTAGACCACAGCTTGTATGTTGTCTCAGTATGGTTTTTCAAATGACCTTGACTATATAGTGATCAGTGTTACAAAAACCTGACAAAAATTTGAAATTATCAGAAGTTTTTCTTCAATTCTGCATGACTATACTGAACTAATAGCTGAAAAACATCATAAAATCATTAAATTTACAGGCTTTCATGCTAATTGATCATGTGTTTCAATCTAGTTTCAGCAGTTGACCATAATTCAGAGAGTGAGGAAAACATGCAAAACAGTCTTTCAACAAATTTTAAGCTATTATCAATAGTAATTGGTAGTTTTACAGTATTGGTTTGAATCCAGGAGTAATATTTGTTTGTGTTCTAGATCTCTGATCTTCCAGGTGAGGGTAGCCCTTTGATGGACTGTTGTCAGCAATGGGCCTAGATAAATTACATCAGCATAATTTTGGGCGTGATGCTGTAGTCCAAGCATTGAGCATAACTTCAGCATAAAACAACCAAAAAATTCTTAAGCATTAATGCGATAAACTGCATTTTTAGTACTTTTATCATTTGGTTTTCAGGGTTGTTTTCAGGGTTGTTTTCAGGGTTGTTTTCAGTACATACATCTGAAATTCCATGTCTAGAACTTTTCTGTAATTTTTAGAGTAGCTAGGTTACTGCACAATCAAATCATAGATAGTTTATTTATATAAAGTAATTCTTTATGAAAAAATGATGCGATAATGCCCATGCCTGTTTTTGCAGCTCCAAACAATGTAGAGGTTGAGCAGAGAAACCAAGATGTTGCGCAAGAAACTTGTAAGCCACAGTTTAATTTTAGCCCTTTAACTCCCAAGATTAGATTTTTAATCCTCCCCTCTAGTTGAAACACATTTCATTGCAGATTAGTATGAGACTTTGGTGTTGGGTCAAGATAAAAAGTTCTACCTGATATTGTAAGTTTGAGTATTCACATTACCTGTTTGCTGGATTTAAATGTTTGGATTTTATAGGGAGAAGTTGCATGTTAATCTCCTCTGGGAGTTAAAGGGTTAATTAACTTAATGGAAGGGATAATCAATTTTTGTCAATATTTCCTTTAAATCCATTTTCCTGATATTTGCAAATGAAAATGGTACATGTATCTATATCATTTTGAAAAAAAGTTAATTTGAACCCTATGTTCATATTTGTTCATTTAAAATTATTTTCATTTCTAAGCTCCTTAAGAATTTTTTTAAAGGGCATGGGGAATTTTCTTGAAACTGTGCTGGGGATTCAAATTTTAATAGCCAGGAATGGACTAACATCCCATTTTGTCATAAAATTCCCTGTAACACCTATCATGTAATGCTTCATGTTGCTAGCCATACATTATCCATGCCTGTTTTTGCAGGTCAAAACAATGCAGAGGTTGAGGAGACCAACCAAGATGTTGCACAACAAATTTGTAAGCCACAGTGTAATTTTTAGCCCTTTTACTCGCAAGATTAGATTGTTAATTCTCCCATCTAGCTGGTAAACATTTCATTGTAGATTAGTATGAGAATTTGGTGTTACAAGTAACTTGTAGGTCAAGATAATAAGTTCTGCCAGATAATGTAAGTTTGAGTATTCTCATTACCTGTTTGTGGGATAATGTTTGGATTTTTATAGGGAGAAGTTGTGTGTTAATCTCCTCTGGAAGTTAAGGGGTTAAATGACGTATTGGATGGGTAAATCCATTTTCCTGACATTTGCAAATGAAAATGGTACAATGTATCAATTTATATTTTTAAAAAAAGTCAAATTGAAACCTATAATTGTTCATTTAAAATTATTTTTATTTCTTAGCCTCATAAGAATTTTTTTTAAGGGTATGGGGAATTTTCTTGAAACTGTGCTGCAGATTCAAATTTTACTAGCCAGAAGTGGACTAAAAAATGGTCTGATGACATCCCATTTTGTCATAAAATTTCCTGTAACACTTTTCTTACATATGTATTCCACTAGTCAGCTCTGCTCAAACATCTTTTCTTCCTAGTGGGTTTACTTAGTACCTTTGTGGGTGTACCAATCGTAGTAATGAAATTTCACATGCCATGAATTCAAAGCTTAAATTAAATTTTGCTTTCTTGTCCCTGACCAGTCTAATATTTGTTTATAGCATTTATAGCTCATTCCCGCATGGAAGTTGATAAACCCAACCACATTGTTGAACAATTAAGACCAGTGTGAGCTTGCAGTTTCAATGATAATCATTCCATTATGAAAACTAAAAGTTCATTGGAGTTATGAAATTCAATATTAAATCTGCTGTTGATTAAAAAGATTCAACCACTATGCATCACCTATATAATAAAAGTAATGAATCAACTACATTCATTGTTACAGTTGGCACACAAATGAAGCTGTT